TAGTTAGCGGTGATGATCTTTACAGATAAAACAGCTTGTTGCAGACCTCGAAAATCTGTGTTTGCTCTATCTATACCGTATTGAACATTTGCATGAGAGATCTGCAATTGTCTCGTACTGCACTAACACTTTTGGCACCCACTGTATATAATCCATATATCGTCTGAATTATGTAAGTAATCTATAACTATGTTGATTACTTATTATCTCAAATACTGTGTTGATTTAGCTAAATATATATTGCAATATAATTACCTTAACATAATCATTCTTTTTCTTTCCAGACATCAAGACAAAAACAAGAGGCACTTGTTTCATATGGTCATCGGATCGAACAAATGCGTTGATGGTTAGAAGTTGGGTAAAGGGATACCGACATAGTTTAAATGTTCCGTCAATGTACCATGTTTTTGCATTGTTTAATATGCTCAAATGCTGTTCAGTCGCAAATAAGAGATGACGCCTTTCCCGAACACAGATATCCTTTTGCAGAAACCCATCTGGTATGTGTTCCATTTGCAGGACAAATTTCAAATCAGCAGGGTCATCTGGTCTCAGGCGCTGACGCAATCTGTTTGCAGCTCTGGCTAGGTTTGCTGGTTTTGGCAAACTAGGGCACGGACGGTCATCTATTTCATCAAGGAAAACTTCATCGACAATAGCAGATGCTGGTTTAAACAGATCATCTGTTGCCTTTTGTTTTACAGTCACAGCTATTTTTGCTGCAGTTATGGCTCCAGGTTCTCCAGGATGGTTATGACTACAGGTGTTGCGCTCAAAAATGTCATTGTTATTTTGTTTTACTGTAGCTCTGCATGGGTTACCTTTTGGGCGGACTGAGCACTGCCAATCCGTCGCATTGACACATCTTCTCTTCACATTATATGTGTACCCTTGACTGTCGATTAACCTTGATTTTCCACGTTTTGTAGCTCCATCTACCACAGTGTACGTAACATCATGGTGTGTTGGTTCGACATCTCTCACATGTGGTTCTTCAATTGAAGATTCGTGCAGCATGCCTTCATGTTGTTCATCAGGGGGAGTTGCAGCTGGGTCATCTTCTGTTGTAAAAGACAACAAATCAAAATAAATTAAATTAGGTGAATGTCACAAAATAAATTATTTCACTTAGCCTTATGCATAGGAAAACGCTTGGTGGTCAACTTTACATGTATTGTCGCTTTATGCTTTGTGGAATGAAGCAAATTTTATTAAATTGTATGTAAAGGTTTAATATATACTCAATCTGATAATCATTTTGAATGCTTTTAGTTATTACTGTAGATATTCTAAAGCACACTCACTGGACATATCTTCATTGTTTTGACTTCTCTCATTGTCGTCATTGGTTGGATTTTCGTGTGGATGGTCTGACTCTAAATCTTCTATCATATGAACCAATAAACTAAGATCATCTAGAGAGGACAAAAAATATAAGGTATCGGGACATTGCAAATAATGAGCAACTTCGACCATCTTTTATCCGAAATTTTTCCTAGTTTTACCTTCAATTTTAAACAAATATCAGTTCCATTTTGACCAACTTTGGGCAAATACCAGTTCCATTTTGACCAACTTTGGCCAACGTTTGAATTGTTGGGGGTGTTACACCCCCCACATCCCCTATAGCGATGTCCCTGACCAGTCCAAAAACAAATGGTTTAGTTGCTAAATACGTTTTGAATGTTTTTAGTTACTAGATATTCTAAAGCACACTCACTGCCAGATATATTTTCACTACTTTGGCTTGGCTCCCGGTCATTGGTTGGTTCTTCATGTGGATGGTCTGACTCAGAAGAATTGTCTGGAGAAAACAAGAAATTGAGTAAATAAATTAGTGAATAAATTTTTACATTGCTAAATTACATTTCTAAATATTCTATTCTTTTTAGTGATTATAGATAATTTAATTATTATAGATATGACTATTTTTTCACATTACTAAAACTACATTTTGAATGTTTTTAGTTATTACTGTAGATATTCTAAAGCACACTCACTGGACATATCTTCATTGTTTTGACTTCTCTCATTGTCGTCATTGGTTGGATTTTCTTGTGGATGGTCTGACTCTAAATCTTCTATCATATTAACCAATAAACTAAGATCATCTAGAGAAGACAAAAAATATAAGGTGTCGGGACATTAAAAATAATTACAATTACCACTACCAGTCCAAAAACAAATGGTTTGCTAAATGCATTTTCAATGTTTTTAGTTACTAGATATTCTAAAGCACACTCACTGCCAGATATATTTCCACTACTTTGGTTTGGCTCCGGGTCATTGGTTGAATCTTCACGTGGATGATCTGACTCAGAAGAATTGTCTGGAGAAGACAAGAAATCGGGTAAATAAATTAGTGAATAAATTTTTACATTGCCGGGGTGACCCTGTTTCGCGAACAGGGTGTTCCTACCGCCAGGGTGACCGTACCAGCTGAGATGAGTTAAAAAATTTCCATATCAACACTCGTGTTTAAATGTTATATAATGAATATAATTTTGCCTCTCCCGGGAAGATCTTGGCTAAAAGTACACACGAGTGAGTACGTGTGACCATGAATTTAATTGCATTATACTCAGAGGTGGAAAAAATATTTTACTTTCTGGGACCGCAAAAGGTTCACTGAAAATTTTTCTGCAACTAATCAAGTAAATCAACACTTGGACACTGTCTGTGACACTAACAAGTTGTTAGATTGAATGTTATGTTATATTTTAACAGAAAAATCAATTTCAGGGCACTAAAAATCTTAATTAATTAATAATACTTTTAGGAATATAACATAAAACTAATTTAGACAACATGCATCGAGGGGTCTGATCCACTGAATGAAATGAATATATGTCTGATCCTAATTAGGTAAATACAGATTCTAAAAAAAGGCACCACCAGGAGGATCCATTCTCTGCCAGAAAATTTTGAAAATCAAGTTCCCTAGATTGGCTAAAAATGCATTTGCCATACAACATTTGTTACATCATTCTATAGCCTATATATTTATACACTATAATTGCACTATTAATTATTATAAGATTAATCACTTTGCATTGAAATTATTTCAACAACTGGTAAAAATATTATTGTTGGTACTATCTACAGACCACCAAGTGGTAATTTTGAAATGTTTGAAAATAAACTAAATTGCAATACTAACCGAAGTTGACAAAACAGGGAAAATAACATGTTTGACAGGGGATTTTAACATTGATCTTTTGAAATCTGATGATTGCGACTATCCCAATAGATTTTGTGAGCAACTTTTTACTTCATCTTTTTATCCATTGATAAATAGACCAACTAGAATTACGCAGCATACAGCCACGTTAATTGATAATATCTTTATTATAAGGGAACAAACTATCGCAACTATATTTACAAGTCAGGCCAGGATTTACAAGTCCAACAGGTACGGAAAAGACAAATTTTGGACTTTCAGCACAAAAGTAGCACATTGCAATTTTCAGGAGAGCATTGTCAATTTGTCCAATAAATTTCGTCTTCATGTCATGCAAAATGAAGAAACAGGACTTTTCAGGGAATATTCCTTTTCGGGATACTGTAGTGTAGTATAATGCAAAATCCCTAGGGAGCCACCTTAAAATAATTTTTATTTTATTTTTAAACACAGAATCACTCATGGTCACTCGTGGTCATTCGTAGTCACTCGTGGTCATTCGTAGTCACTTGTGTGTACTTTTAGACAAGACCCTTCCGGGAATGTCCGGGATTTGGGAAAGAATGCCCGGGAGTTGGGAAAGAATGCCTGAGGGCATTACGTCATCACAGGCTTTAGGCTTCTATCAATACAATAACAGAACAAAAGACAAGCAACATTTTTGAAATTCTTAGCATTACAAAAACAAGATGAGTCATATTTTTTCAAGTTGTTTATAGAGATAGTATCAACTTGTTGGTACGATAAACACTGGTAGTTACTGATAAACACTGTTTAGTTAAACTCGTTTTGTAGTCGAATCTGTATAATAATAAGCGATTAAGCCAAATAAATAATTTGTAATTGTATGTGTTGACATTGGTGATAAAAATATAGCTGTAGCGCGACAAAATATACTTACATGGTTTGCTTTCATCCACTCTAGTGTGTTCAGCATTTGGAAGAAGAAATCCAGCACTCATGTTGAGGCAATCGTTGCACCGCCAGTCTACTCCTTTGCCAGATCGTACAGCTTCCCTATATTCGCCTCTTGAAATCCCAGTGTCGCACGTCCTGTGTTGCCAATTATCGCACCCATCGCATTGAATACCTTCTTGCCGTGGTCGAACAAATTTCTTACAACGTTTGCAATAATCTTTATCCGCAGACATGTTACTTTGCAACAGTCGTGAACGCAAATCGCTGTGACAAATTTAAAGTTTACAGGGAAGATTTCGGTGTGCTCAGTACTCACAGCCTCGCAAGTCAGCTGAAGTGAAATACTTCCCTAACACTTCGCATCATTTTATATTGTCTGTTTCATTCCATACATATTTGAAGGATGAGTAATTCTGGGATTGAGTCATTTTTCTATTTATAAAAACTTGAATAACTAAATTTTATGGTTCGGCTATTGTCAAAAATTAATCACCGTTCCGGGAATTGTTCCGTTCATCCGTTGTAAAAATGATTAATCACTGTGTTTTATCACCGACTTTGTGAAACCTTTTCACGCTTTTGTTTTCGTTTGAAATGTCACATTTTGTCAGTTCTTCTGTCACCTTTGGCTTTGACAAGTTTGGAGCGTGCATGCATTAGTGAATAGGTTTTCGATTTTTGCACGGTTGCCATGTTGTGCGGTTGTCCACAGTACTCGCAAATATGGGCTAGTTTGTTAGTTTGTAATTCGTATATTTTGCTAAAAAGCTTTATCGAGTATTCAATAAGTTTTGGGGTATTCTTACAAATACAAATTGACATGTAATGACTTGGGGGCGAAACGACTTGGGGCAAATCGACTTGGGGGCGAAACGACTGGGGGCGAATCGACTTGGGGGCGAAACGACCGGATACCATCATCCCTGATGTTTTATCTTCGATTATTCACGGTTAATAAAGCTTCATCGGCTCGAAATATCAAGCGAAATATTGTAACTTCGAAATCACGAACTGATTATATATATACACTTCCACTTTCAAAAAAATAATTTTCTTCCCAACTGCTCAAAATTTCATTATTTTTGACAAAAATTCCTTTGATGAAGATGAATTTTACCTAGTTTAAAACTGATATTACAATAATTCATCTTGAATGACGGTGTATTTCTCGGGCGAGAAACACCATGAACGTTACAATTATAAATTACAAATTAATTATAAAAAACTGCAACAGGAGGCTTGAGGTCATGCCTCAGAAATTCTTCAGATTATCCATTCCCCAGGCGTAGTTTGGATTTTCGACATTTCCTGACGCGAATTTGCTTGGGAATTGCTATAATCTTAGGATTTATTAGAAATAACGTAATATCCTTATTTGCTTGCTGAAAACAAAATTCCTTGCTGTTTCCTAGTAAATTTTATTTCTTTTTGCAAAGAAATTTCCTTGCAAAAGGAAACACTGCATGGGATGACCAGTGAGGATGACGCTGTATGCAATAGCTGAAGCCTGAATAGTTGAAAGTAAATAGGTTTAAAATAGTATATTTTATCCCTATTTGAAAATGTGGCATTTTTAAAATGTGAAATAGGTTTAAAATAGTCTATTTTATTCTGTTTTACGTATTCTGAAAAATAAATAGCTTTAAAACACTATATTTTATATCTATTTTAATTTATGTAATTTTCTGCACGTGCAAAATGTGTTTAATAGTCTATTTTATTGTTATTTTACTAACTATGAAGGAAAGATAGGATTAAAATAGTATATTTTATTTAAATAGTATATTTGATTTAAATAGTATATTTGAAATTTGTGCATTTAACTTGCAATGTAAAATAGGATTTAAACAGCCTATTTTATTTTATGAGTCTAAAAATAGTATATTTTATATCTATTTTAATTTCTAACTGCTTTTTAGTGAAGTAAAATAGAATTTAAATAGGCTATTTTAAACCTATTTTTTCCCTCGAGCTCTGCAAAATAGTATTAAAATATGCGATTTTATTTCTATTATCTATAAAAATAGGAATAAAATAAAATAAAACAATAAAATATGGCTCTTTCTTTTGTTGAAATACTATGATAGAATTAAAATAGGGTTGCTTCTGAATAAAATAGCATAAAAATAGGGGTGATAGTAATAAAATAGTTTTAAAATAGCAATATAATATAGTTATTTTCGCAAGGGTAACCATATTGACTATTGGTAGCTTGTTTGTGCAGCGGATGACTCATTTGTTAGGAACATGTTATGACATCAAGTCGTAAACAAACAAGCGTATACAAAGACAATGAAGTAAGCGAATTTTTCGAGAATCATGGAATACACTCACAGTTTTTGGAGAAATTACATTCATCATTGATGTTGAATGATATTCTTTATATTGCAAAATTTCGGTAAACTTGTCAAAAACCTGAAAGAATATAAAACGAAACTATACTTCACTATCAAAGTTTCCGTCATCAAAATCAACAATGACTTTAATCACAGAAATTTTGACCGTGTAAGCGCGAACCTGTAAAGTTCAGAAGATATCTCTATTTTCGGCAAACTGTCGGTTCGGGAAACTGTCCATTCCGCAAAATGTCTGTTCGGCAAGACGTCCATTCAGCAAAATGTCTTTTGGCAAACTGTCCGGCCACCCATAATAAACTTTGTTAGCCATTTTCTCAAAAATGGTATTTTCGGCAGGGGCTGTTACCTAAATCCTAATAACTTGAAAACTATTTGACCAATCTTGCTTATTTTTTCTGATTTTTTCAAAAGCATCCATTATTTTTTTCTCTAAAGTACACTAAATATAAAGAAATAATGATCATTAGTCTATGATAGGTTCCATTGTCATATCTGCCAAAACGTCTGAGTGGTTGGCATTGTCAATAAATATTTGGGTAAACAGAAAATCTCTCACCAATGTGTAACTCACTTGTGTAACTTCTGTATAGGTTCTGTGGGGTCCGAATGTTGCCCAACGATTTTGATATAGCCTCTTAGCTGCTTCACTTTTTCAAATGTTTGTATACTTTAGAGGTTAATCGATTTCCTGATTTCCTTTTCTAGCTTTTGCCACTTGCATTTGCTAGACTGCCTTTTATACAAGGATGACCACATTTGCACTTCCTCCTTTGCAGAGTTGACATCATCAATGTTGAAGTTAATTTTGTCTGGCGTATCAGAAATGAGGAAGGTGATGAAATGACGTAAACTCATTAAATATGATTTTATCATCCCAGCCTCATAATCTTTCTTTTTTACATAACTATTCGAACACGTGCTGCACCAGTTTTAGGTGAAGGAGTGGGTGAATATCTTCTGAGTCATCAATTGCTTTTAACATGCCCAACAACTGCGCACTGTGCTGCTGTACAGTTTTCATATCTCTTTTCTCTCTGTCTGGTGACTACATCCACTGTTCAAATTTTACCAAAACGGGATGAGCGGCAACCTTTCCAGAAGATTGGTCTTTAGCGTACTATCTTAGGATGTCATCATCGCCGTCGCTTGTTGCACTGTCTTCTTCGCTATGAACACAGGACTTCGTATTCCCAGATACAATTCCTTGTCATTCTTCTAAGTCATGTAGCGTTGTAGGTGTCTTGTTCATCCGTTCTTTCCAGCGGATCATTCCAGCACATGATCTAGAACAACACATACAGTCTCCATGGTATCAATATATTCCTTTGAAAAAGTCTTTATTTTGTGTATCTTTTGCAGGTGGGCTGGTAAACGAAAAACACAAACAGAGTGGCACTGGTTGACAGGGCAACGCCGACGTCTATGGTAATCTTTATGTTTGGCTGGTGCTTTTTTATCAGGCAACTTTCTCTTCCTGATATTGTACTTTACCAAAACTTTTTTGCAACTTAGTTTGTCCAATGGTGCACAACTTTTGCTTTGCATAAAACCAAGGGGCACGAAACCCTTTGCTTCAACACTTTGTGCCTCCTTCAAATTCTTTTTCTTTTTGGCTTCTTTCCTACCATCCTCATCAATATCTTCATCATGATTGCTCGGTTTCCAACTCACGTCACTACTTGCTTTATTGCTTTCGAATAAGCTTTCACTTAACATGTTCTCTACCGTTTTTTTATTCTCATTGTGTTCCTAACGAGTACAATAATAAACACATTCACTTACTGTAGTTAAAATTACCAATTGTTTTCTATGTATCAATACCACTAATTTCGTGAATAATGTACAGGCAACAGCTGATATATGTATTAAAGTGCCAATTATTGGCCAAATACCAATTATATATATATAATATATAATATATATATAATATAATATATAATATAATATATATATATAATATATATATATAATATATATATAATATATATATATAATATATATATATAATATATATATATAATATATATATAATATATATATAATATATATATAATATATATATAATATGTATGTATGTATGTATGTATGTAATGTACGTAATGTATGTAATGTATGTAATGTATGTGTGTGTATTTAGAATCATATATGAGTAGAGTTGCTTATAGAGCTAATAAAGATAAAATGAAATACACCTGGTTTACTTCATAAAATTTTATTCACTACAAACTTGTTTCGTATGACAAGCATGCCTGCCACACTCATCAGGTGAATTTAAATGTTGCGCTATGTTATTGCCAAGGTTATATATACTATATACATGTTTGACATAAACAGAATGCTCAAGTATTAGATTACATATAGATTATATATACAGATTATATTAAGTAATATTGCTTATTAAGAGAAATTGCATTTTGATAAAAGTTCACTTATTGAATTTAAAGAACAAAGTTCAGGGTGGTAGGTTATTACCTTTACTTCGACTTTTTTCTTTTTTCAGAGCTAACTTACAGAGGTAAACCATACTAGATTATAAAAAAAACCATAACTCACTTGAATTCTAGGAATTTTAGCATGTTGTCACACAACAACATTATGATGTAATGGTGCATTATGCTCCTGAATTTCAAAATAAATCTAATGAAATCAATTTGGCAATAACTTATCTCAGGCCTAACTTTATATGATACTGCCACTCCATAAACACTTTGAAACATATATTTTTAGAGCAACGGTCAAATATCTAATTATCTAAAATAACCTATATGCCTATATCACAACCTTCTAAGATAATATAATCTATATACTGTATAAAAATATATATTATATAACCCCAAACTGTAAAAAATATGTTCAATAACGATTCTCCAATGGTCTGTACCAATGTGGGTAGCTTTAACAGCAAAATACACTTCAAGTGAAGGCTCTAGAATATAATGCGTTCATAATAACATTTAAATATTGAAGCAGTTATGATCTTTCACCAAGCACAATTGTACATGACATTTGCTACACTTCACTCTAGAATATCCCCCACTACAAAATCTGCGCCTTTGTTGTTTTTCTACAAATAGTGGAAAATGTCCAATTTTCATTAGACACATCACTTGATTGTGGTGAGAGTTGAAGGATGGCCCGCTTGTTTTGTGGTGCCTGACACCCCACCTTGCCTGCATACAGGAGTGAATGGGCTATTTGGGAACTTCAGCAAATGCAAAACATTTTTTCCTGATTGCTACAATTGCTACTCCAATACAATAGTAGACAATATGCATATACCATTTCCTTGTACGAAGTTTGATGCAGTACAAAGCCATTAGCATATCACACAGATCAACTCCTTCCATATGCTTGTTGTATTCATGCACAATCTGATGACAAAGAACATCAATCTTCTTGTTCGCACTCCACCGTTTAACTGGGTTCCCATTGCCGATTCCAACAAATGATGAAACAAGTTTAACCAAACCATTGTCCAACCATCGAACAAGAGCGATATTGGAATTTGCATCAACACGATAGTCAATCGAACCTTGACCTGCAGCTTCTAATACTTTCTTGCTTTTCGACAGCTTATCTGCTCCTGCTAAAGAGATTAGAACGTATTGTGCCCAATGCCCATATTCCTTCAGCTTTCAAATGCTTGACGAGATTAATGCTGGTAAAGAGATTAATGCTGGTAAAGAGATTATTGAGTACACTTTGTGGCCCAGATCCTTCGGGAGGTGTCGAACGAGTCGATTAACAACGGCACCAACTTTACCAAATCCTTTGTCATCTTCTTGCTCCCCTGTGTACACTTCAAATCATAGACAATTCCACTATTACCACATCTTGCCCACACCTTGATGCCCCACTTGTGGCACAAATATGGCACAGGGAAGATCTGCCTTTGGAACCATCTGTTTATCGATAGAGTGATATTGTTCCTGTGGAACGTCTCAGCATTTGGACACCGAAGACTCTAACATCGGTCCCACTTTGCATAATTTATCAAAATTTGCTTCTCCTTGCTTTGACATTGTCCTGTTATCAGCTATATGAAAATAATGCTTGAGATTGTCAAATCAATTTACATTCATGACATCTGCAATTGCTGGTATTGTATTTCTGGGAACCAATACATCATATATGAAGGATATTTTACAATTCCCATCATGATTGATATACCAAGAAACTGTTCAATTTCATTGTTATTAGTCTGAATGTTCTTTCCAGAGGTTTGTACAGAATACAAGTAAGTATGTTCACTAATTGTTTCAATAAGGTCATGGCCAAAAGCATATCAAAATAATTCCTGGGTTCAAGATCGTGCGCAGGGGGATCTGGAAAAGGTGGACCTTTAAATTTGGCATCTATTTCAGCACGGGTAATTTTTCTCCATTTTATATTGTTTTTACTTTAAAGTTTGTTCGTTCACTGCAACCAGGTATATCAATCATGTGTCGCTCGCTAATCTGGTTTAAATAAATTATTACAAAGCCCAGTCGAATTGTAATCAAGACCCAACGTTTTCGATACTCCAGTCTAGTGTCTTCATGTTTGTTTTTACCCTTCTTTCTCAGTTGTATTTTCTCCTGTACTGGGTCATCTTCAGTATCACTTCATTCTTCAGCATGATCACTGGCAATATCTTTTTCATCATCAGAACTTTCAGAAATATCATAATCACTGCCTTTGCCATCACTTTCGTCTGCTTTATCCTCAAACATATCCTCCAAATTAAAATCCTTCTGAAATTGGGAGATCTCGTCATCCCCATCATCATGTATGTCCTCCTCCGTCTCACTCAAATTAGAATCTGGTATGAATATGTTTTCAGTTACTCTTTGCCTTCTAATTCGAGAGCCAGACGCATCATTACAGGTCCTGTAAAACTTACCCACCTCAAATGGCATATTTGCATTTACACACGAGACATGAATCTCTTTGAGTATTATGAAACTAAACAGAACATTCATAACATTAGCCCGATTAGGAAGATGCATGTATGATAGAAAGATATATTATCAGATTATATAACAAATACATACTATTAGATTACATTTACCCTTGCCTGGGGAAATCCAGCATAAAGTGGGACTAGTGTCATTTTGCTATTTTGTGCAAAAGATATAAATTGCCTTTTGAACAAGTAAAATTAAAATTGGTCTTTGTTGCATTCTGATATTAGGTCAAATATTATATGTTTGAATAGACACTATAAAGATCATAATGATAATTTTTATGATAATTACTGGTTAAGAGAGACAAAAACGTGTGAAAGACACCAAAATACCCATTTAAAACAATTCTCTGATGCAAAATTCTAAAGCTAGATTGATAAATATATGTCGCACATCACTACACATGTATCTACTTTTATATTCATATCTTCATGATGTGGTTGCTCAACAACAAACATATTCATAGTCGTGTATCAATTAAACCAGTTCAGTCATATTTTTTATTTTCCTATACTATTTTTACCTTCGAAAAATGATGCTCCAAAACGAGTGATGTTAGGCTTTACCCACCCGCCATATTGAAATTATTTTAATTCGACCCAGATCACAAGCATTAATGCATAATAATGCATTGTTACCATGGATACAGATCTTACATCATCATTGTGCAAGTAATCTGACCCTGGCCTAATTTTATCTCACGAAAATATTGTAAAAATTTATTGTTGTTGTGCAACAACATTATGAATTAAAGTTATAATGAATTTTTCATGTGTACAAAGACTGCAGCATTTTGTTGTGTTGTTGTAGCTCTAGCATTGTTTAATAATACGCCAGTTTATAGAGTACTTGACCTTTGACTCTTTATCCTTTCATATTTTTCATTCAATTGCTTCCGATGTAAATATCTCAATGAGTATTTGGCCCCCAGCCTAGTCCCAGGCTCTCTCTCTTAGTCCGTATTCCCAAGGCCAAAAAGTCGCTTAGAAAACAATTTTCGTTGGACACATTCGGAGACTACGTCAAAATCACAGAATATATAGATTCTTA